AGGGCTCTCCATGAGCCAATGTACCTCTTCTTATGCCTGCTTTCTATTACTGACCTAGTCCTCTGTTCAACAACATTGCCTAAAATGCTGGCAATTTTCTGGCTCAGCTCCCACGTCATTTCTTACCATGGCTGCCTCACCCAGATGTTTTTTGTTCATGCGGTCTTTGCCACAGAGTCAGCTGTTCTGCTGGCCATGGCTTTTGACCGCTACGTGGCTATCTGCCGACCACTTCACTATACATCAATCCTCAATGCCATCGTGATTGGGAAGATCGGTCTGGCATGTGTGATGCGTGGCCTTCTCTTTGTCTTCCCCTTTGTCATTCTCATTGAACGCTTACCTTTCTGTGGGCATCACATCATCCCTCACACCTACTGTGAGCACATGGGCATAGCCAAGCTGGCTTGTGCCAGTATTAAGCCTAACACCATCTATGGTCTTACTGTAGCACTTTCAGTCACTGGCATGGATGTGGTCCTCATTGCCACCTCCTACATCCTGATCCTGCAGGCAGTACTGCGACTGCCCTCAAAGGATGCCCAGTTCCGAGCATTCAGCACTTGTGGCGCCCACATTTGCGTAATTCTTGTCTTCTATATCCCTGCATTCTTTTCATTTTTTACTCATCGCTTTGGCCACCACGTGCCTCCTCAGGTTCACATCATACTTGCAAATCTCTATCTCCTTGTACCTCCTGTTCTCAACCCCTTAGTCTATGGAATCAATACCAAACAAATCCGACTGAGAATATTTGACTTTTTTGTAAAGAGGAGGTGACAATAATCTCTACATGTACCAGGGACTAATGAGCTCTGGGCTTGAGGCTGCTGCTTCTATTGACCTCAATAAGTCAGTATAATGTAATATTTGAGATTTTGAAGATCTCAGAGCAACTCCTTCATATCTATAAAGTCAAGTGTAGGCTTGAAAGGAAAAGTAATAGGACAGGAGGAAATGTAGAATACTTGAAAGAAGAGCCATGGAGATTTTCTGTGTCTCTATACATGTGTTAGAAGAAGAAGAAAAGTAGGGTTAAAGACCTATTTACTTACCACTTCAAAGAATTAAGAATGCACATGTATATTTATTAATTAACTGATATCATCACTTTCTTAGAACCAGTGTCATCAATGAGAGTCTCAGCCTTGGCCACAGAAAGCTATAACAGGCTAAGTCCCTTTGGACCTGAGGTGGGGTTTGACCCAGATGAAGATGGCAGTTGGGAGAGTCACTGTGAGAAGTCTGGAAACATGTGATTGCAGAGGGAGGGAAGAGCAGAAGTTTCTCTAGGAATTACTTCAAAAGATGCCACTCTGTAAAGGACATACTCACCTCATGACTTGTGGCCTCTGCTTCCTAGCTTTCTAAGCATGATGAGTTCAAGACGCAAAACATCTTAGAGGCCATGGTGGACTTGGTATAATCTGTGATTTACCTCAGTAGGTAGCCTGGATGTACAAGGATTCCATGGACAGTTTCCTGGTAGTGGCACCCAGTTAGGGTGACAAGAATCCTCAAGCAACTGGCCTTTGTGCATATTTCCTTTGAGTGCTGGAGCTGGAATAAAAGTGGTTGTGAGCTGCGATAAGAGAGCTGGGAATCAAACCCAGGTCCTTTGGAAGATCAATCAGCCAGTACTCTTAACCACTGAGCACTGAAGTCCCATTACTAGACATTCTTGATCATTGAGGGCATCCATCCTACTTTGTAACTTCGGTATCTTTCTTTTTCAATGGTGAAGCATGCTGCCTATCCATAGTTGGTTTAATTTATTATAAGTGGTTTGGTGACTAAGAGTCATGTCAACAGAGAACATAAACTTCTACTTTGGTATCATAAAACTATCCATTCCATGAACTTTGTCATTTTGCCCATCTTAAGCCTTAAAATTCAGTGACTTATGCTTACAAGATTGGGAGACCTTCAACTCTATTTGTAAAGCTTTTTATCACTACAAGTAGAAACTCTGTAACCAGTCAGCAATAACTACCCATTCCTCAGTCTGCTCTGCCAAGGAAATTCACAGAGAACAAATCTGTTGTAAGAGTTTTAAGAGAGCATGGCTTATTTATTGTAATTGAGCTTCTATTAAAAATACTTATCAAGGACCAACTGTATACTGGGTATACAATCAAGTTTACAGGTCAATAGGCTTAAGTGCCAGACTTTGGTAAAGTCACCACCTTGGTGGGTGAAGAGATGATGATGTGGTTTCAGCAAAGCATGTTGTTTGTGGTGATTCAGTATAAAAGGCATGGGAGTCTTCTATACTGTCAGTGATGTGTGAATTCAGATAAGGAACTCAATTGATTATGGTCAAGATCCAGCCTTGAAAACACTGAAGGTCAAGCTTAACAATGGAAGGAAAACAAGATTGAGAGCACGTGAAAAAAAACAACAACAACAACAACAGACAATTAAAAAAAGTTAATAAATATACTGAGATTGTATGGGGTCAACAAATCTAAAAATCCACTGTGTTTCTCTCTCTCTCTCTCTCTCTCTCTCTCTCTTTCACACACACACACACACACACACACACACACACACACACACACACACACACATGCACACACACACACACACATCCATGCTCTTGAGTTTCGTTATACATTAGATAACAAAGAAAATACTTAATGAAATTAGGCTGTGATTATAGTGAAGACGTTTCAGTGAACTGAACAACCCTCAGACACTAAGACACACTAAATTAAGGTAACAAATAATATTAGTCATGAAACAAAGACAGTGATACAAATCTTAATTGTTCTGTTGTCTTACCCGGAGGCTGTACACTTTGTGTCACTGGTATGCAGAAAGGTGGGTTTGCCGTGACTCTCTCTCGGGAGTCCCTGCTTATGAGGAGCCCCTGGCTGGTAGTAATAACATACACTGGAAAAGGACAAAGGCGTTGTCAGGTGAAAACGTATGTGCAGGAATGAACTTCTCAGAATGTGGCTGGTTGTTATCTGCACCTGAGAAATCCGCTCTCGTCAGAATCAAGAGCAATCCTTTTGTTTCTTGGTTTCTAAAATATCCACTATTCCCGTCTAAGATTATTTGGTAGAAGGTAAGCAGGAATTTGGTGAAAGGAGGTGGCCCTTACCTGTTGGAGGTAATTTTAAACAACATCCATCAGTTTGTCATATCAACTAGCATTAACAAAACTACAAAATAGGCCATCCACTTTCTGTATAAGTTGCAATTAAGTTTTAAGAACTTTAGCATGTGATTATTCTGGACCCTGAAACCTTTCTAAATCACCGAGGCCTCTTATTTATTTGATGATGTATTTGATGAATAGTTTCTGAGTTTGAGTTTAACAGTAACAGTGAAAATGAATGTTTCATTAAATTCCAGAAGCAAACACTCATCAAAACATGTTTCTCCTATACTGTATAAAGAACAAAACTCTCATGATAGCATTACTTGGATTTGGAGAATAGAATGCCTAATTATTTCTATCATTTAAAAAATATATGATTTTTAAATTAATTTTTTGAGAATTCCATGGATGCATATAGTGTATTTTGATCATATTTAGCCCATCTGTTACCCCTTTTAAAGACATAAACAAATCTTTATGACATGGAGTCATCATGCAGAGTCTCTAAAGTTTAAGTGCAAAAGACATCTTAATAGTTTTTATTACTTTGAAACTAGGACCTTAGTGAAACCAAGAATAAACAAAACACAAGATATGAATATAAAAACAGTTAAGTCAAAAAATAATTGTAAACCATGTATTAAAAACACAAAGTCATAAAAATTTATTTATGAAAATTTTATTTTTTTTTAAAAGAGGGAGTTTTGGTACAATGATTCAGTATGGCTAAACCCAAGAGAATTTTTTTTTTTTTTTTCGAGACAGGGTTTCTCTGTGTAGTTTTGGTGCCTGTCCTGGATCTTGCTCTGTAGACCAGGCTGGCCTTGAACTCACAGAGATCCACCTGGCTCTGCCTCCCGAGTGCTGGGATTAAAGGCGTGCGCCACCGCCACCCGGCTCCCAAGAGGATTTTTAAAGGTCCATATTTTTGAACTCCTAAATTATTTTCTTCACTAACATAAGGTTCTAAAATTATTTTAATATGGACTTATAGAAATAGAAATACATAGCTAGAAAAACAGTAACGTAAGAATATAATGAACAAATGAGCAAACTGCAAATGCAGAGCTATCAACATTAGTTTTAAAAGTATGATCACAAGCCAGGCGGTGGTGGCACACGCCTTTAATCCCAGCACTCGGGAGGCAGAGCCAGGCGGATCTCTGTGAGTTCGAGGCCAGCCTGGGCTACCAAGTGAGTTCCAGGAAAAGGCGCAAAGCTACACAGAGAAACCCTGTCTCGAAAAACCAAAAAAAAAAAAAAGTATGATCACTTACAGCAATACATTACTAAAACAGCATGTATATTACATTAAATTTGTAACACCGATAAATTATAACAGCTTTTATAATAAACATAGGATTTTGTAATGAATATGCACTTTTAGTTTAACTTTTTTCTTCCGTCTGTCTCTGTAATGTGAATATATGTGTATGTGTATGCATGTGGGCCCAAGTGAACCACGGTGTTGCTAGAGTTTTCCTGCCTGGCCCACAGTCAGGACAAATCTCTCTCACCCGCCAGTCCCAAGCCGCTCAAACCCGATCAAGTAAACACAGAGACTTATATTGGTTACAAACTGTATGGCCGTGGCAGGCTTCTTGCTAACTGTTCTTACAGCTTAAATTAATCCATTTCTATTAATCTATACCTTGCCACGTGGCTTGTGGCTTACCGGTACTTTACATCTTCCTTATCCTGATGGCGGCTGGCAGTGTCTCCCCCCCTCAGCCTTCCACTTCCCAGCTCTATTCTCCTCCTTGTCCCGCCTACACTTCCTGCCTAGCCAATGGCCAATCAGTGATTTATTCATTGACCAATCAGCAACACATTTGACATACAGACCATCCCACAGCACCACGGCATATGTGTGGAGGTCAAAGGACAACTTTCAGGACTATTTCTCTCCTTCTACCATGTGGCTTACAGGGATCTAACACAGATGCTGAGGGATGGCAAACACCTGTACCTTCTGAGCCACGTCACTGGTCCCTAAATTTTTATATTAATTTTATTATTTTGTCTGTGTATATGCACACATGATATGTGGGCACACATGCTATAGTGTGTGTGTGTAGAGATCAGAAAACAACTCTGTGGAGTTAGTTCTCTCCTTCTGCCTTTATGTGGGCTCCAAGAATTGAGCTCAGATCACTAAGCATGTGCTCCTGTAATAATGCCAGTAAACTATTTGGTTCACTAAGTTAGAGTTGGGTACAGTTGTTTCTTTGATCTCCCATTGGTGCCCTATGACATGGATAGATGTTTGTTCCTGTCACCCCAGGAAATGTCATGCAACACATTGGTGCCTAAACTGGGTCTGACAGAACCAAAAAATGAGCCAAGGAGGAGTGGTTTTGTGGGCCATGTAGTGAGTAATAAGAATTCATTGATGATTTATCCATTTAGGGTAAAGAATACATGGGGACAATCCTAAGGTGATGACTTTCTCCCATGTGGCATCGGAAGGTATACCTCCTTGCTGCAGTGGCAATTGTATGTTCCTTATGATGGGTGGCAAGACATTCTAAGCTGAGCTATCTGAGCGTGGAGCAACCTTTCGAGCAACCTTTTGGGGAGTCCAATGGTGGCTGTCTCTATTTACATAATGCAGGGTATCATGTCTCTTTGGTGAATGGGGTCCACCCTGTCAGTATGAGTACATATCGAAAATGGCTGATGGGCTAAATAACTTATTGCAGTCCTTGAAAGTAGCACATATAGGACAGGATCATAGGTAGGCTGTAGCAGCTGTTAGTTAGCCTTTGTTGTGGATCATAAGACATGATGCTGAGGCTCAGCTGTCTGCCCAAAAGAACGTGCCTGAGTAAGGGAGGAATTATAATGAGAAAAACATGCAAACGTTATCCTGTATGCTAGCTTCTGATATGGCAGGGAAAGTGGGAAAATGGGTGGACGAGATGGAGGTGTAGTCTTGCTGCTGCTTACAGCAGGGAGGGTACAAGAGAAAGGAAGTACAAGTCAGATCTGAGCTAAAGAGCCTTTCCTAGGATTCAAAACTCTGGAACACATGAGAATCGTCAGATGGTGAGAGAAAAAAGCAGTGTGGATGTTATGCTTTGACATACATTGACACTTTTTGGTTTTACAACGCGTGTTATAAATTCCTTTAAGAAGGAATAGCCTTCATACTAGTTGTATTTTAAGCATTTAGATATCTAAAATGAATAAGAACTGATGAACTAGGATACACTTTAAGTTTATTTCTAAATGAATTTATTTGTTTGATACTCATCTGTGTATTGATTTATTAGATGCTTGTTATATGCCTATTTGGTGCCAAGCATTTCACAAATGTTAGGAATACAAAGGCTTGGGTTTTTATCCTTATTGTGATTATCTAAAGAACTAGGTTAAGTTGGTTTTTTTTTTCCTAAAAAGGCTAGAATATTCTGGCCTATAACGCAAGATTTTCTATTTAAGGAGCTGCCTTCAGGACTATGACGAACCTATGGATGTAATATGGAAAAGCAGAACTAGGAGAAATGATTCATTTGGTTGCTACCAGCCACTGGCATCTACTCGCCACTGTTAGTTGTCAGGATCACCTGTAACACACAGGAGATACATGGCAGAAGTCTGGGTTTCTGAATGTTAGGAAAACCATGATGTTCTGCTGAAGAAACCATAGCTCTATGGTACCTGATGAGGGTATGTGTTTATAGTCAAGGACATCTGTACTGCTCTATTTAAGCATGTCACAAGGCATTCAATTCTAGTCCCCTTTCTGTGCCCTTGTTTCAATATTCCTAACAGTCATCTCTTATTGCCATCTTTCTACTAGATCTGTCCGCAAGCAGGGCTTCATCAGAATTTGACCGAGTCCAGCTTTTGTTGAGTTTTCCTGGTTTTGTGATTTTGATTTGGTCAAATAATATAAGGAACAAATGAAGTCATCCCATTATCTTAGTTATTCATTGTTCCTTCCCAGGGTCAAAAGAAGCTATAATCTACTTATTCAGCAAACATCTTGAACACAGGGCACTGTGTTAGCTCCAGGTCTCACTGGTGGCTGGAGCTTTGTAGTTCTTATCTGACCTATCTGCTCCATTTATTGTAAACCTCCTCCACCTGGCTCCACAGGAAGTATCATTTTATTGTCTGTCTGAATTTTGTATGTTTTTCTCCAGATTCTACATATAAGGCAGATCACGACATGGTTTTCCCCCCATATTTGTCTTATTTTATTTAGCATAGTTTCCACCAAATCTGTCTCTGTTGTGGCCAGAGTTAGGATTTTTTTTCCCCCGAGACTGACAATGTTCAGACACAAACACCCTGCAGAGTTTCTTTCACTGTTTGTTCATTTTCTCGTCATTAACTTTGATCTCTCCAGTGAAGACTGAGCATTTCCAGAATCCCTAAGATCAACCAGCTTTATCTTGAGGGAGTTCAGTCCATCTCCAGGGTCAGTCTTACCCATAACAGCTGTGTTGCCTTGTGGTTCTGTGTTGCAGGGTGGGGTTGTCAAGGAGCTAATTCTGGAGACCTTGGGGGCCTCTTCTTAAGTGGCTTAAAGAGGCACATCATGGCTTCTTGTGTCTGAGAGGAGAGTGGAGAGATGCAGGGCAATGAGTGTGGATGCTTCTTAAAATACACCTCCATACTCATGTACATACACACCTCAAAATATTTGCTGAAGACGGCTGTGACCAGCTGCCCAGGTTCTCAGGGCCTCACATTCAGGTAAGAGGGTGTAGATGAGAGGAGGTTTTACCTTCACAATGTACTGCACAGCATGTTCACAGAGCTTCAGCTGCCCAGTCACCCAGTGCCTCCTTCTACCTTCATTACTACTGCCAAATTCTCTCTCTCTCACACACAAAACCTTTCAGATCCCCCGTCAGCTAGAAATGGATATTCTTTAATTTTCAGATGTAGAATGTTATATAAATTTTGAAGTGTTCTTAAATTAAAATTTTTTTTCTTGTTGGTGCATTTTTTTTCAGATTGTTTCTGGAAGTAAATGTATCTATTTCTTTTTTTGCATTTTTGTTCATTTTCTGACATGATTTAAGCTGTTCTTTAGTGACAATGTTTCTATTTCATCATATATTCACCTACATTTAATACTGTTTTAACAACGAGTCATCAACAGTTTTTCCCTATTAAAAGCTTTTCTCACAGCGTAGATTCTCTCATTGATGCTGTCATAGTAACACTACATTATTACTGCACATCATAGTTTAGTGCCATGTTGCATAACATATACTGTTATTATTTCAGATTGTTTTGTGTGTTTTAATATTCCAATTTTTTTCTTTTTAAAACATCTGACTTTTTAAAAGAACTTTAAGCCTAAGTAGTTTCTTTGTTGCTCCCTTCAGGTACTTCACCCGGGTGCCACCATGATGCCTTGTAACAGCACTGGCCACCCTTCTTTCTTCATTCTTCAAGGCATTCCTGGGATGGAAGACAAGCACAGATGGATATCCATCCCCTTCTCCTCCATGTACTTCATTACTGTGATGGGGAACTGTACCATTCTTCTCACCATTTCCATGGAGCGCTCCCTGCACAAGCCCATGTTCCTGCTTCTCTTCCTCTTGGCTCTCACAGACTTGGGCATGTCTACAACTACCATTCCCAAGGTTCTCTGCATATTCTGGTTTGGACAGAGTGAAATAAGCTACGAAGGCTGCTTGGTGCAGCTGTTCTTCATCCACTCCATCTCAGCCATGCAGTCATCTGTCCTGATGAGCATGGCCTTTGATCGTTATGTAGCTATCTGCAAGCCCTTGCAATATTCCACTATCCTTTCCAATAGTCGCATTGGACTCATTGGCCTAGTGAGCTTGGTGCGAGCAATCCTCTTTATTCTCCCCATGCCTGTCCTCCTCCAGCGTATGCCCTTTCATGCCAATCGAATCATCCCCACAACTTACTGTGAACACATGGCTGTGGTGAAGATGGTATGTGTGGATACCACAGTCAACCGGATATATGGTCTGGTCGTGGCCTTGTTGGTGGTCGGGATAGACATCTCAGCTATTGCCTCATCTTACGTGCTCATCATACGAGCTATCATGCACCTCTCTTCCAAGGAGGCCCACCACAAAGCAGTCAACACCTGCACCACACATATCTGTGTTATGCTAGTCTCGTACACTCCCTGCCTTTTCTCCTTTCTAACTCACCGCTTCGGAAGAGGCATTCCACCTCATGTCCACACCATTCTTGGCAACCTCTACTTCCTTGTACCGCCAATGCTCAATCCTATTATTTATGGTGTGAAAACCAAGGAATTTCGGGACAAAGTTACCAAATATTTATGCAGGAGGAAGGAGTCTATCATTTTTTCTCACAGTCAGAAAGTTGTTTGATAATCAAGCAGTTGTGAGTATTAGGAAGCAATGATAAATGTCTAAGGGAAACTGACTAGTGGTAGAGATACATTAAGATATCGGATTAGCAGCCATGATATTTATTCTTGGATAGAGAAGCTAAGACAGGCGAGAACTTCTTGGTTTCAGTAAAGCAAAGGCAATGGAATTATCCCCTATGGAATAAAATAATGATATCTGCTCTTAATATCTAACAGTGTTGAGCGAACTACTTGTGATAATGTATGTACAAGCACTTTGGATGCCATCATACACTCAGTCCATGTGAGAGAGTGTGGAACATTTTCACACAGAGTATCACAGAGCAACGTTTTCATTCTCAGTAAGTGGTAATATAATATAATATAATATGTAATATAATAATGCTTTACCAAGGCATGTACAGTCAAGCCGGATGTAGGGTTTTCTGTGTGTATTTGTGTGGTGGAGAGGAGTTTGGGAGATAGAAAAGGTGTTTGAGAGGAGTGAAAGGGTCAAGGAAGTTCGAAGATGAATTTAGAGTCATTGTTTTATCATCCCAGACTTGTACTAACATTTGGACGACAGGATTTACTGCTTCTTTTGGAGTCTAGGGTCTGTATATAGGACACAAGCTCAGATTTCTAGAGAAACTTTGGAAGAGAAGGAAAAACATTGGGAAACTCTTGTTAGAATGAAAAGGTTGATATGGGTTTTAATTAATTTCATTCTATCAAAAACTGCTAGTCAATGCTTCTGTTTCTCACAACCAAAACCAGCATGTGAGAAGACCTTCTCTTTTTCTCTTTTTTTTAAAGAAGTAGTTTTTTTTAAACGATTTGCTTTTATTTTATGCACACTAGTGTTTTGCTTGCATGTATGTCTGTGTGAGGGTATCAGAAGCCCTGGAACTGGAATTACTGACAGTTGTGAGCTGCCATGTGCTGGGAATTGAACCCAGGTCCCCTGGAAGAGCAGTCAGTGCTCTTAACCACTGAGCCATCTCTTGTGAAGGAACAACTCTGAGACTGTCTTAAGAGCCAAAGCTGTGAAACTCAGCTTTACACTGGAACTGACTATGAAATTATGCTTGAGGACTGTCTGATAGAAATCCATGGATTGAGTACAGACACAAGACTTACTCTGGGATTAGTAGCCAGTTCATTCCATGGGTTTGCCTCTTCTATTTTGTTTTTGCTTTGTGTTGAGACAGGGTCTCACTATGTACTTGACTGATGTGAAACTTAACAGGTAGACCAGGCTGGCCTCAAACTCAAAGGTCTGCCTGCCTCTGTCTTCCCAGTGCTGAGATTAAACTGGTGTGTACTCACATCCAGCACCACAGTTTCAAAAAAATTCTAAGTTTTAATACAAAAATCATTTATCTTTGTAAGAAAATTCAGAATCCACAGATCTAGTTCATCTGGGCTGCTTTAGAAGGTGTTCTTTAGGAAACAAATAAACAAAACAATTCTAGAAAGATCTTCTACAGGTGACATCATTCTCATTATTTACATCTTTCCAAGTCTTAGTTTTCATGCAAAGGAAAATAAAAATGTTATCATTATTATTGTTCCCATTACATTGTTATTAAAGAAATATGTGTATTTGATAAGGCAGTCAAATGTGCTAGAACGTTTAATATAATATAAAAGCCACCTTCTAGCTAGCTGTGGGAAAAACTGAAATTTTTTATCTAATATATGAATAAGACAAGATATAAATCAAATGTGTTTTTTTGTGATTGAAAGAAATTTTTACTGATTTGATAGACCAAGAATTTAAAAATGTTAATACAATACATGATTTTTCCTTTCTTTTATTAAGGGAGGGGCCACATTCATCCCTTTATTTTTTTAACAAAATAAAATAAAACAAAAACCATCATATCAAAAAATAAAAGCCAACAGAAAAAGAAAGGAGCCCCACAAGAAGGTACAAGAATCAGGGACCCACTCATTTACACATTCAGGAGTGCCACAAAAATACTACACTGGAAGCTACAGTATATGTGCAGAGGACCTGGTGCAGGCCTGTGTAAGCCCTGTGAGGACGGCTTCAGTCTCTGGAAGTTTTCATGAGCTTTGCTCAGTTGTTTTAGAGGACCTTATTCTCCTGGTGTTCTCCATCTTCTCTGTCTCCCTATTCCTTCTGCTCCCTCTTCCGTGGAGTTCCCTGAGATGTGAGGGGAGGGATCTGATGGAGACACCTCTTCAGAAGACATGCATTCAATAACTGTGTTGGGTGTTTGGTTCACCCAGGTCTGTGGAAGAATCAGGATCACTCTAGGATGATTTTTAGCCTGTGCAGCCACAGGGGAGTCAGTTTCTGGTGAGCTGACTGACTGTAGCTCTGCAAAAGGCTTTTTTATTGTTATACAATTTACACCTTAGCAAGTCAATTTTTGCATACCAAAACCTCTTATCTGAAGCTCCCCAAAGAGACAAATGTCAAAACAATTCCCAGTCACAGGACATCTGTTCTCTGAGTCCTTCCCCAACCAAGTTTGGTATGGGTTTTGAGCCTTTAGAAAACTCTCAGTTAAGATTTACATACTTCAAACAAAAGGTACCGGACACAAAAGGCAGGTCAAAGCCAGGTGCTAACACTTGGAATCAAACCAGCTGCAGAGCTCTGCAGAAACTCCTGCTACAGGGAATATAATGAAGTTTGGGTTGTTTATTTGGTTATATCTCTTTGTGACTATTCCATACCAGTACAAATACATCTACTTAGTTATCTCAATGCTACAGAGCAGTGGTTCTCAACTTTGCTAAAGATGCAGTCTTTTAATACAGCTCCTCATGTTGTAGTGACCCTCAACCATAAAATTATTTTCATTGCGACTTCATAATTGTAATTTTGCCATTGTTATGAATCACAGTGTGAATATTTTTGGAGATAGAGGTTTGCCAACGGGGTCATGACCCACAGCTTGAGAACCACTGCTCTAGAGACCTGTGTTGTATGTCTGTTAACATAGTTTAAGCAGTCACCTATTGATAGATATTTATTTCCAGGGTTTTGTTGCTTAGAAGAACCACATGAGGATTCTGTTATATAGATCATTCATTCACTATTTGTACAAATAAGTATTATTGAAGAATAAATATGTAGAAAAAGCACTATGGGAGAAAAGACTATATACATTTCTTTCTTTTTTTGGCTTTTTTGAGACAGGGTTTCTCTGTGTGTAGCCCTGGTTGTCCTAATACTCGCTCTCTAGACCAGGCTAGCCTTGAACTCACAGAGATCTGCCTGCCTCTGCCTCTGAATGCTGGGATTAAAGGCATGTACCACCCCCCTCAGCTTACTTTTTCTTTCTTTCTTTTTTTTTAAATATATATTTTTTAAACTCTTAAGATTTATTATGTATACAGTGTTCTGCCTGCATGTGTGCCTGCAGGCCAGAAGAGGGCACTAGATGTCATTACGGATGGTTGTGCGCCACCCTGTGGTTGCTGGGAATTGAACTCAGGACGTCTGGAAGAATAGCCAGTGCTCTTAACTGCTGAGCCATCTCTCTAGCCCTTACTTTTTCTTTCTTAATGTAGCAGTTTTTTACAGATCATAAAAATCAAACACAACATAAACTTTTAACTATAAAATATGTTGAACCTACACATCCCCCAGATGATGACTGTTATAACATGTGCCAGGATCTCAGCGCTGGTATAAAAAATTGTCACAAACTGGGTAGCTTGTGAAGGTCTTGTAGCTGCAGTTACAACTGCTGTGAGTTCCTAGGTGTGCCTCCAGTCTTCAACCAACCCAACATTAACAAACACACGGACTGATTCCAATTATTCTTATTTTGCATTTGAAAAATTATATTTTAGTTAATTTTTTTCAGTTAGTGTACAAAGCAGTAAGTTTCATTATGACATTTTGCATTTTTTTTTACTCATTCTACCATCTCCTTCCAACTGCTCACCCCAGATAGATTCCATTTTGCTTTCGTGCCATATGTACACAAAATATATTAAAATATAGATTCTGATTAGGAGAGAAAATATGTGGCCCTCCTCTTTCTCCCCATTACACTCTCCTACAGCTTTAAGCCCGTTCTTCCCATTTTACTGTCCCCTTTATATTTTCATGTCCTGTGTACTTGACATAAATGTGTGCACGTGTTCATACATTTAAATCTGTTTCACCCAGGAGAGAAAACATGAGGAACTAATGACAAGTCCCAGTGGAATTGTCCCAGTGAAGAATTCTGGGAATTTAGAGTGAAGGTAAGCTATCTGCAGCATTTGCCTTTTGACAGGATCTCCTGTTAGAAATAAAACACTTGAACATAGACAATGCAGTAAGCAACCACCAGGCTGATCTAACCCTTCCCAGAAGCCAAGCTCCCTTTAAATCCTGCCGCACACTGTGCCGGGCCTAGTCTGTATAGAGACCAGAGTATGGCAGAGATGGTGCTGTGTCATTTCTGGTTCCAGGTTATCTTTCTTTTAGTTCATTTACTTTTGGGGAAACCAGAGTCCTCACCATGTGTTGCACAGTAGCCTTATGGAGACATGTCTGTGGCAAAAACTGAGATTTCCAGTCAGTAGTGATAGTGGGATTTGTTTTGAGTTGGATCCTCCAGCTCCACTCAAGTCTTAAGACTTTTGCTTCAGTTGACATCAGTACTAAACCTTATGAAAAAGTCTGACCCATAAGCACCTACCAAGTGTCATCAGACTCCCAATTCTCAAATGCTTCATGAGAAAAAGTTGGGTGTTGTAAATTGCTTTATTTTAGGTAAATATTTTCATTCATTCTCTATTACCTTATTAAAATGCTTAGAACAAAAAATACAGAATGCTATATAATATATGAACAATGGAAAATGTACATTTTTTTTTGTTTTCTACACTGAAGGAAAAGTAACTATGAAGACTTCAGATCCTAATTTCCTTTGCCATGCTCTTGCCCATCCCCTGGCTTTTGAGTAACTACCCCATGCAGCTGCGCCCTGCCCAGTTGAGATTTTTTTTTTCAGTGATAGATGACAGATAGCCATCCTTTCAGAATTCTTTATAATGATCTGGATTTTGTCAGATCTGTCAGTTTATACTGTCAGAACTATGAAGTTATAAAGCCAGGAGTTCATCATGGTACATGCTGATTGAACTTGAGCAGGCCCACAGAATACAATAAATTGCCTGAGCACAGAATGAATTTCAAAAGAGTAGAAATTGGATGGAGGTATGTCAAGGCTTTCAAAATGCAGGGTAAGTATAATAGAAAAAGGAAGGTATTTATTTCTCCAAATACTTTGCAACTGTTTATACTTCAACCAAGGCAGAGTTTAAATTAAATTTTGCTATTGGACATGAGGTAGTCACATAATTGATGCCATGTTTCTTGAGATTGAAGGCTCTCCTATTAAGCACTCCATTCAGTTTTGCTTCATGACTTTTCCAGTCCTTATCTTCTACAAATAGGAATAACTGAATGGGAAGATACAGTCAGATGGGTCAGGATCTGAATGGAGGCTTAACTGTTTATTGCCTATATGACCATGGGGAAAATATACAAAGAAGCCAAGCCCTTTAAAGTCAATATGCAAGGCATATTATCATACAGCTTGATTTGAATTTGAAATACTATATATGAAATGCCTGGGGTACCTAAGATAACTACATTAACATATGGTACTTTCTTTTGGAATCAGTGGAAAGTAAAACATAGAAAATGTGGCCTTCCATTAATGGAGAAACATTCCAGCCTTAGCTGTTGCCCTGAACTTCTCTTAGAGTTTCTTATTACTGAGTATATTGACCTACTTGCTCAAAATTTTGCCCCCATAATGTAGGTGCATCCTATGATCCTTCATAAATGAGATTATACTTGGATGATAATAGAAAATTCAGTCTTGAATTTTCTTAGTCTCTTTATGCACTCTGACATGCTGGTGACAGTATGGTGACTGCAAGTTAGCATCAGGTGCAAATCCTCTCTGCATTCTTGAACCTTCATTGGGAAATAAAAGACTTGAAGAAGCCACCATAGACCCATGATAATGCTACAGTTTCCTCCCATGACAACACTCCCCCTAAAACACTCCATAAAAATATGTTTATGTTATGAATGAAATGGGTTTTGTTTTAACAGATTGATCAGTGGGTTCTTTAACACCTTATCTGAAAAATGCATATATGTTTTGTTTTGGGTATCTTCCTGGTCTAAGCAGGACCAAGTGAAATCCAGGGGAAGGGCATTCAGACAGCTGAAATTGCTATTAGAGTTTATAGACGGTTCTACTCTAAGTAAAGAAGAAATTTAGATAGGCTAAAGGTAATGGCTAGAGATAAAGACTACAAACGTCTCACTCATAATTATCATTTAAGAATTTCAGGCACAATGCCACATGTTGAAATTGGGGTTCAGAAATGTAAAACCTGTTCTCCCAACTTTAAGCTCAATGGCCATATCTATTTAACTTTATACTAAGAAGATGATTAAAAATTGTTCTTACATTTCATACTTTCATTTTGTGCACCTTGTTTTAGGCATGACATTTTATTTTATTATTTATTTTATTTTTTGGTTTTTTGAGACAGGGTTTCTCTATGTAGCTTTGGTGCCTGTCCTGGATCCCACTCTGTAGACCAGGTTGGCCTCGAACTCACAGAGATCCGCCTGCCTCTGCCTCCCAAGTGCTGGGATTAAAGGCGTGCGCCACCATCGCCTGGAGCATGACATTTTATAATTGCCTTTTTACACCAATCCATTATCAGAAAGTTTATTCATAGAATGTTTTAAAATATAGCAACAGAGCAATACTTCATCAAAATAATGTAAGCTGATCTTTATGCATGAGCTAAGCCACTGTGGGCGAATTCATGTTAGTCTAATGCCATTTCAGGAACAAGTAGTCCATCTCACCTGCATTTTTTTTTTAGGGTAGAGTTCCCTCTCACAGGAGTATTTTGAATTAAGGATCTAGATCTATCTTACGTTGCAACAAAACAATTCAGATTATGTATTTCTATAGTCTACAAATCCATATACATATAATCCATATATATATTATTGTATACATTATCACAATAATCTGGTTAGTCTTGGGAAAATTCCACATCACTATCAAATTAAAAAGTCCCAACAAACTGAATAATTACTCTTCAGCTCCTGAACAGTTATCATAAAGTGGGATCCAATGAGAGGCACACCAGGATTCTTTTAGCAAGAAGATAGTAATTAGAAATAAACATAATTTGAGAATGAATGCATAGAAAAAAAATGAAGGGAGACCAGTTCTTTGTGGTCTACTCTTTCCAGACTTTTCACAGTTTATCTGGAGATATTACTGGGACTTGGATGGTTGTCAAAGGTCTTGTCAGATGTCTTCATCATTCATTTAGTTAATGGATTATTACTGGGATTCATACCCTATGAAGCTCATCTGCACAAGCATTTGGCCACCTTGTCTCGTATCTCCTTCATTTTTATACCATAGATAATTGGATTGAACATTGAAGGTACAAGAAGATAGAGATTGGCGAGAATAATGTGAGCATGAGGTGGAATGTTGCGGCCAATGCGGTGGGTGATAGACGAAAAGAGGGCAGGTACATAAGTGATGAGGATGACAAAGAGATGGGCTGAGCAGGTGTTGAGGGCTTTGAAGGTAGCGTCTCGAGAGTTGAGGCGTACCACAGCATGAAGGATGAGGGCATATGAGAAGCCAATCAGAAGCAAATCAAGTCCCACTACAAGCAAGATCACAAAGAGCCCGTAAATTCGATTGGGTCTGGTGTTACTACAGGCCATTTTTACCACAGCCATGTGGTCACAGTATGTATGAGGAATGATCATGTGACAGAAAGTCAGCCTTTGAAGTAGAAGAGGCATGGGCAGGATAAGGATCACACCCTTGGCGAGAGCCACCAGTCCTAGACGTCCAACTAGAGAATGGCTCAGGATTGTGTTGTAGCGTAGTGGCTCACACACAGCCACAAAGCGGTCAAAGGCCATTGCAACAAGTAGGGCTGATCGTACCACTGAAGCTCCATGGATGAAAAACATCTGTGTGAAACAGGCCTGGACAGCTATATCTCTATCATCAAACCAAAAGAGGCACAGGACCTTGGGCATAAGAGCTAGAGTAGAGACAAGGTCAGCGACCATCAGCAGGGCCAGAAGCAGATACATTGGTGTGTGAAGTGTGGGCTCTGTGGCAACCAGGAAGAGGATAGCACCATTGCCAATGAGGATGGCTAAGAGCATGGAGGCAAACGGAACAGAGAGCCACAAGTGTTGTGACTCTAAGCCAGGCACGCCCATGAGAGTGAAAGTCATGGAGCTGGAGTGGTTGAAGAATAACATGGCAGAAACTGGTAGCAGTTGTTAAAGAAAGCTGAATACCTGCCAATGAGACATGGGTGTTGGTTGCTTTACTGTTTTGGTTCCAGTGGTTTGTTGATTTGGGACCCAGAGGAAAATGTCTTACAGTCGTGAAATCCACAGCCCATCTCCAGTCCCATTTCTAAGACTTCTCATTGTTCGAATATTAATTTTTATGGAGTTTGGATTCCAATATAAAGGATGTAAATGGTCTTCATTTTCACCTTTGGCCGCTCAGCAATCCTATGCTAAAAAAAAAAAAACAAAAACAAGCCCCGAGACACAAGATGACTGAGCAGGTAAAGTGCTTGCTGTGCGATTTTGATGACCTCTTTCGATTCTTGGAATCCATATAATGGCAGAAAGAGAGAAATGACTCCCACCAAGTTGTTCTCTGACCTCTATACACACACACACACACACACACACACACACACACACACACACACACACACTCAATAAAAATAAATAAAACTTAAAAATTTCTCAAGTTCTGAGCAATAGGAGAAACATGTTATGTTTATCCTTGAATGAAGGCTGAGACAACCTGACAGAATCTCATATTTTCATTTGCATATACAGAGTGAAAGGGGGAGGGGTGGGTACACTTCTTCACTCCTTGTTCCAGGAAGGCTGAACTGCTAAGGGAAATGTTACTTGAGATCTTTTAATTTTACACACTATCCTTCTTTCAGGGATGTCTCTGGTAGTAACATCCTTTCTCTTCCTGGGGCCTCTGCTTGGTGGATAAAATATGGAAGACAAGAATCTATACAGGTCTATTTATGAGAGAACTGCCTCTCCTCATCTCTTGAATTGCACATATATGCACTTCCTGGATAATTCCTTGAAGTATCACTTTCTTTTCCACTGTATCTGTCCTTCATATGTGGAATGTAGACTCTTTTATATTTAATTATGAATATTTACTTTATATTAGTTTACTGGGTCCCCTAGGAGTACTCACTCATTCCTCAGTTTCCATCATCAATCGGCAGGTATTTTCTTTCCAGGGAACAATCTAAGTAGTAATCAAATCAGGACCATGCCCCACTAATAACAACTTCGGGGTAATGGAATGTACGTGATGGGAAAACACAAAGAGGACTGTTTGGAAAGACAAGGGGACCAGAAATGGGGAGGATAAGAGAGGGTGGTTGGGGTGAATAAAAATAAAACATGATGTTTGAAAATGTAAAAGATGAAACCCATTACTCTGTACAATACCTAAAAAAAAAAGAAAAGAAGTCTATGTAAGATATATTCAAGTGAGTTTCTTACACTTTATGGCCTTTCCTTAAAAAAGAAAATAGCAACCTCTATTTTGTCAATTTTTTTCTATCTTTCACTTTGTCCATTCCAACTATTTTTTTTCAAAAGCACAGACTTCAGTGTAAGTCTATAATCTCGGCTTGTGTGTCTATATGTAGGGAAATTTGATATTATGATGTGACGTGACATTCAGAAACTTTCTGAGCTGTTGCAGCCGTGAGGATGATTGATGGTTCTTTCAGAGAGTAGCATCACTTTATTTGCATAAAGACAGAATCTGTACTTCCCTTGGACTTCTAATAAGAAGCTAATCTTTACTGCAGAATATGTAATAAGGGAGGGAGGAGAGGACCCAAACTAGGGAAATCTTTGGCAGAACAAGTAATACTATCACCAATACTTTAAACATGTTAGAGAGAACATGACGTGGGATGCCCTTAGAAAGGACCTTGCCTGCATCATAAGCAGGCATTGAAGACAGTTCATTCTGATTCAGGCCAGAACATTCCAGATGAGGGCAGCTGAGGATAATCTACAGATCTGCACAACACAAGACGGAATGGAGGCATTTATCTGGCTGTGCAGGTTGAGCTCCTTTGTTATACTAGAAGCCAACGGCTGAGACATGGGACAGTTTTGTGACTTTCTGACAAGACCTTGCAAATCTGTGCGTTTGCTGACACTGTCATTTGAGCATACTATACATCGGTCAGGATCTTTATAACTTCCTGTGTGGAACAGAAACAAATATTTAAGTAGCTTATTGCAAATATTTTCTGCATAGTCTTTGTCTTTCAAAAATCCATAGATATAATGTCTTTTGATTCACATTGCAGAACCTGAGTTTAACCACAATTATTTTACATTTCCTTTTATTGTTGCTGTTGTTGCTTTTATAAAATTATCAAAGATTTCCTTGCTTTTCATATAGTTATCTGATCCAAACTGACTTTCACAATTAAAGTACTTTGGCAGCATCACCCCTTGCCTCTTACACTTACTCTTTTAACCCACTCATAAAATCAATGCCTTTGTAGAAAGCAAAAGAATACACAGAATTTAAGAGATCTTTAAAAATGATCTCTAGTCAGAGTATTTGGACTAGGTTTGAATTAAGCATTCAGCACAAAAATAATCAACATGGCACAAACCAATATTTTTATTGATTATGGAGTTAAAAAGACACAAACACAGAATGGGAATAATAGTATAGCTATAGAAATGGGAGGTACCATTAAAAAGAAAATGTACATTATCACTAAATGAACTTTGATAAGTTAGCTTTAGTTACATATTATTTTTTACAAATAAAGACTGACTTGTATAAAGGCTAAAAAAAAAAGAAAGAAAAGTTATAGACCATATTATTCTGTCTTACTTTAAGTTTCTTCTGGGTAAACCAATGTGCTCAGGCCATAGACTGATTATGCATAGTCAAATGAAGGATGCTTTTATGCATTTCATTGCTCATAGACTACAGATCGTAAAATTGGGGCATGCGTGAGATCTTTTCCTCTGTTATGCTGCCCAGATATGTGCTTCTTTTTTCCTTTCCAAACCCAGCCCCCACCAAACTCACCAGCCATCAGACCATTCCATTTTCAGTCTTTGTTCACTCATCTTTCCTTATCACATTTATTTTCTGCTATTTGTATAGAAAAAAGTTGTTTCTTTGCTTTGGTCTCTCTCTCTGTCAATAATTCTATCATAATTTTTCCTAAAATTAATTCATATCATCCACGAGATAAGAATCTTGGTCTTTTATTTTTTGGACTTCTGACTTCCAGGGATCTTCTCTTCACCTAGCTCAGCCACTGACAGTATTGAAATTAATCTATAGAACAACCATACCACCTTCTAATCTTATTTTTTAAAATCAGCTTTCTTAGTTTTCCCAGTTCATTTTCCTAGCACATTTTACTCCAGTAATTCAATAGTCTGAAATCAAAAGGTTTTCCAACCCAGAGTCCTATCACTTCTTTGCATATTACATGTTACCTCCTCATCAGGTTACCAAACATCACTATGATCACTTTCTGTGCTTTGTTTCCACCCCTTCCTAGTACTCACAGAGCAGCAACACAACCCTTGTCACACCCACCTGATCTGCTCCGCACCTCCCGAGAGCAACTGACCAATGGTCCTGATTCTGCTTCTCAGAAGTTATGTTCAGTTGCGCTCATCGTGAATGGTCACTACTCAGGATGCCTAATGTAGCATCTGGGCTCATCTCATCTTGTTAGTCTCAGTTGCTGCCACTGTCCCCCAAGCTCACTTCATTCTTCATCATTTTGATCATCCTTCAGCATGATAAGGTTTGATTGCCTTCCAGTGCTTTTATTACTTATTCTATCCCCACAAAATGATTTACTTCTTATTGTATATGAATCCATGAAAATCTTATTGCTTCTTCAGTATCTGTGTAAATGATACCAAACCACATATAATCTTGTTGTTGATCTAAGGTCTTTAAATTTTTAAAAAAACTTTTCACTCAGTATATTTTAATCATATTCTTTCCCATTCCCCAACTCCTCTCAACCCAACTAACTTCATGTTCTTTCTCTCTCTTAGAAAAAAAACCAAACCCAAACTTTTAAAACAACTTTTGTTTCTGAAAGCATTTATACTTCATGGAGTCACAAGGTGACTCACAGCTCATACCTAGACCCAGATAACTGCACCCAGATGTGCAGCATTGGAGCCTAGCAGTTCTGTTCTCTAGAACAAATGAAGTTATTCCTTGTGCTACCATGTTGAGAACGACCAACCCAAGACATTGTGGTTCATGGCACATGAAACTAGGTGTTCCCCCTTTCCTTTGCTCTCTTCTTTTACCGCACCTGACTTGTTTTTTCTTTATCCATTATGTAAATTTACAGATAGTGACTATAAAGTTTAGTAAGTGTTGTAACTGAGATGGACAAGAGTTTGTGGCACTTAAAAGGGAACTTCCTTGTATAGGGACAAAGAAAATTGTAAAGAAGTAACATTTACCAGACTTTTAGGGGGGCAGGGAGCACTCTGGATGTGGGTAGGTGGGTGAACACACAATGTCAGAAAATTTAGTTAGAAACGAAGTGTGATCTTGCTGCCAACAACATGGAGTCTTAGGGGGCAGGTTCATAAGTGTATCTCTGATTGACAGCATGCTTTCTACATTCCTTTATTGATGACCTCATAGCCCCCTCCATCTTCATCTTTTCTCTCTGCCCACACTACAGCTTTTCCTACATTTATATTTCTCTTAAGCATCAATCAGTTCAAGTTTCCTTTCTTTAAGAAATCTTTTCCATTTAACTTGTGCTGATTAAGCACTCACTATGAGGCTGGATTTGTAAAATACTTGCCCTATCATATGTCACATTTCTTCACCATTAAAAAATAAAAACCTGAATTCTTGGATCTGTACTTCCTCACCCCTTAAATCTGCTGTGAGCTTTCTCATCTTTCAGATGGGAGGCAGCACTTTCAAGTGTTCGATGTCAAAGTTGCTGGCTGACTAGGGAGTAAGTGCCAGTTAAACAGAATCAATGGGAGCTACAGGTAGACATTTAGAGAAGGCAGTCTTATCAAAAGAAATGTTTTTTTATTTTAAATTAGAGCTTACCTGGAAACATTCTATTGCCTTCTTACCAGCCACCTTGCTCCTGACAAGCAGAGCATTCCCATCAGAGGGTCATAACATCAGTGTGTTTTTGATTTTCTAC